TTACACCTGTAACACGACCAAAGTCTGGAATTGGACGAACAACCAGGACTTTCACCCAGAGTTTACAGATAGTGAACGTGAAGAAGAAGAAGAAGAAGAAGAAGAAGAAGAAGAAGAAGAAGAAGAAGAAGAAGAAGAAGAAGAAGAAGAAGAAGAAGAAGAAGAAGAAGAAGAAGAAGAAGAAGAAGAAGAAGAAGAAGAAGAAGAAGAAGAAGAAGAAGAAGAAGAAGAAGAAGAAAAAGAAAAAGAAGAAAAAGAAGAAGAAGAAGAAGAAGAAGAAGAAGAAGAAGAAGAAGAAGAAGAAGAAGAAGAAGAAGAAGAAGAAGAAGAAGAAGAAGAAGAAGAAGAAGAAAAAGAAGAAACAGTAAAAAAAGAAGAAGAAGAACAAAAAGAAAAACAAGAACAAGAAGAACAAAAAAAAAAAAAAAAAAAAAACATCGGATAATTTGAGTGCCAGACTCAAAGCTATTCCAACCATCGCACACTGAATCACCATCTGTGTGTCGTTCATACTTCCCGATTCATTATGCAAATAGGATCCCCTCCACGATCCATCTTGGCATTATTTATTCGCCAAATAATTAACGCCACAAAATAGCAACCTCCTTTCGTGGAGAAATGAGACCTATCATTTGTCCATAAATTGGCTCTATCCTGAACTGGATTATGATAGCAGGAAGATAAGTAGAGACGGCAAAGCAGTTTACGAGATGAATACTCAAATAACCTGTGGAAGAGCAACAGGAAAATTATATTGTATTTTATCAGTTGCAGGAATGATATAGCTCTGCAGTGAAGTGATTTTGATGTGGGGGATTCTCTTGTTGAAACTGCTTCATGTCTTTTGCAAACATCTTTCTGAATGAGGAAATAAAAGTCTCTGATTTTTGCAAGTGTCTCTTTCTTACTTTTCTATATGCTTTTATAGCATCCATTTCTTAGTTTTGGAAGTGTATCTTTACGATTTTTGCAATTTTTTTTTTTGGCACAATTTTTTTCTGATTTTCTGATTTTTTTTTTTTGGGGTGGAAAATGGCTTACTGACTAAATTTGGATATTTGCAAGTATAACTTTCTGATTTGTTGAAACTTCGCTTTCTGATTATCGCCAATATCTTTTTTCAAATATAAGTATAACTATATCTCTGTCTGTCTGTCTGTCTGTCTGTCTGTCTGTCTGTCTGTCTGTCTGTCTGTCTGTCTGTCTGTCTGTCTGTCTGTCTGTCTGTCTGTCTGTCTGTCTGTCTGTCTGTCTGTCTGTCTGTCTGTCTGTCTGTCTGTCTCTCTCTCTCTCTCTCTCTCTCTCTCTCTCTCTCTCTCTCTATGACGATTATAGAACATATCTCTCTCTAACTTTTGCAAGCAACTTTCTGCTATGTGCAAATATTTATATCTAAAATTTAATTTTTCTTTCTCCTGAACCCAAAAGTCTGTATGTCTGCCTGTCGATAAGTCTGTCTCGAGTGCCGATTGGTATATAAAATATGGGTATAGCACTAAGTGCCCAATACGCCTGAAGGTGTTAAAAGAGCTTTTTTCTTGCCTGAGCCAGTGATATCATAAGCGGAAGCAAATGCAAAGGAGGAAGGGAAGAATGAGGAACACTAGAAATGAAAGTTGCTGAATTAACCGTGCTCTCATAGGCGATAAATCGTTTCAAGGACTTGGTTGGTCGGTTCAAGGAAGCGATTTTTAGGGCAATTAATGGGAATAGTCGTTGGAGATATGGAGTATTGTGCCTCTTTGCAGATGGCTCTGTGCTGAGAGGCAGACGAAAGGCGTGGGGGTTAATAGCAAATGCGAATGGGCGTCGCTTAGTGCAGCAAAGCCTGGCAATTGATATCACAACGTCTAGTTTGAGAATGGAGGCGGAGGCAGTCACTGCTGCCTTCCGCTGGTTTGAGAAATAGCTGTACACACATGTCGTATTTGTAACTGATTCACAGAACATGTTGAAAAAGATTGAGACAGGCATGCTCCGTGCAGAGTGGCAAGCATCGCTTCAGAGATCTCGGGTCCTTTAGATATTTTATCCACAAAGTCACTGGTAGTTAGCATCCTTTGGGTATTTCTTCCAGGTTTTGCCGGTGTGTTAGGAAATGAGCAGGCTGATAGATTAGCAGGTTCTGCACCACATAGTGGTGAACTCATGTATGACAAACTAGATGTTGTGAAGGCCCTTTGGGAGCGAGTGAAAAGTGCCGAGCCACAGATAGATCATTATGGTCTGAGAAGAATGGCAGCTGCCAGGAGTTACTAGGGGATTTTGCTGACGCTCAACACTTAGAAAGAGGCGAGACGGTTAAACAATCAGACAGTTACTGATGCCATCGAAAATTGAAACCCTTTTGTTTGCTGCTGAAGATGAGGACAGAGCGATTATTTGATTGTCCTGAGTGCTGTGATGTCGATTCTTAATTCAACATTCAACTTTCATTCAACATTCACTGTTGTGCTTTATGGGACGCCACGGGCAGGCGACTAGCCTTCTGCTGAGAGAGAGTGAAAGGTTAGGTTAGTTGCGTATCCTTTACAGAAGTTGCAGAACCAACCCCAACAACCCCTGGCTGTTGTGTGGTTTTTCTAGACAAATTTACGTCCAATAGTTTGCCATTGCTTTCCGGACGGCCGGCTTTCTTGATTTCACTGTCGAAACCAACGCAGGCGCATGGCCCGCAGTTGGGATCGAACCCGGCATCCCGGCATTACGAAGCGTTCGCATCGACTTAGCCACAGAGCCGACGAGAGTGAAAGACCGAGCCATATATAGACAAACCTGGCATAATTAGGTCAATCCCCTTATTTTCAACAGTCTAGTTGAGTATAGGTTAACGTCTATATTGTGTGACCCATCATGTCCCTTCCCTAAGTGTTGATCAGATGAACTGCCGAGGTTACTAGGATGAACCTGGATGTTGGTGGGCTGGGTTGTGGCACTGTCCTGTCAAAAAATGGGACTTAATCCTGTCGTAACTCCCAGACAAGCCAGTTCTGTAAGCATCATAAACTTTACATCCTAAGGACACAATGGAAACGTTGTTAGACAACAGAAAAACCATGTACCCTCTCATACAACTCCCTTATCACACACCAGCCAGTTACATGAGCACAGATGACCTTGACTGATATTCACAGGGGAGAACATAGACCTGATAGCAAATACCTAACGGGTTCCACACATTAAGTAATAGTTAAACTAATTTGATTACCTGTTGCTTATTCTGTCTTGTCATTCCTTTGTGGGATGCAATTTTTCGTTATCTGAAGCCCAACTCTGGCTCTTGCCAGGGGCCGCAATATAGCCCCCCGCCATAAATATTGTCTAATGGCTGAACGCGGTTTCTGGGACCTCTCCACGAGTGATCCTCATCCATATGGTGGCACTTTGTGTCATCGGGTGTTTATCGCTTGTGTGATGTCCTGGTGGGTTAATAAAAGATAGATAGATAGATAGATAGATAGACCTGTTATTGATGACTGATTTGAGAATCGACATCATATCACATTGGACATACCCATAGATGCTCCGTCTCCCGAGAAAATATCTTGACGTGTAGATACTGTTTACTTAGCACACTGCTTTTACACACGACATTCTCTTCCTCTAGTATTACATTCTTGCCGGTTCCACTCCTAATTCCACGTTCACACATTCTTACACACGCTATTTCATCTAATCGTGTGTCTTCTGTGTATATGTGTGTCTTTTCTGTTTGTGTATGTATGTATTAGGTATGTCTGTATATGAATGTGCATGTATGAGAATGTAAGAGTATATATGCGTGTGTGTGAGTGTGTAAGATTGTGTACACATGATGTGTGTATGCATTATTCTACAATGCATATTTCTTTATATATATCCATAACATGGATTGATATGATATTGTTATTGATAACAAGAATTGGTACTCTGAAAAATGAGTGCTTACAAGGGCCGAATGTCAGACGGACCTGCGTGCCCAATTTGTAACCTTTTGAAAACAAAGTTCGTTCGTTCGTTCGTTCGTTCGTTCGTTTTTCTGTTATTATTCGTTCATACACTGTAATATGGATACCTCTAACTTTGACACAGCGGTAGACATCTTTACTACATTCAACAGAACTCTGAGGCTGTTTAATCATCATCATGAATCAGATCCTTTTCAGAACGTGGCTCCCATCAGAGTCCAGGTAGATGAAACCCTGTCTCTCGCCAGTTTTCCTCGTGTTCTTCCCTGATCAAAGTGTCTTGTGCCCTGTACCAATCTTTGTGCTAATCGGCTGCTAGTTCTCTTACCTGGCACAGTCTACTTTCCCCCTCCCCCCAATTACTATTCATGTCAAACTATTGTGGCTTTTGGTATAGCCAAAGAATTCCATTGTCCAAGACAAGATGCTGTTTACTATCCAGTTTAACAAAACGGTTTGGGTATTTACCACTAATTAGTGTATAACTGTTGGTTTGATGTCTGCTGCTTCCATCGACCACGAACTACAGTTCCTGTGACTGACTACTGGTGTCGGCAAATTTCTGCCTTATGCATTTACATCGTGTGCATATCTTTTTTGTTTAAATGCTGTCACGAGACACTAATAGACATGTGTAGCTTACACTGGTACGGCATTTGTTTGACCCAGGGCTCCATTAGGAGGAATAACAGAATTGATTCGCTTTTCCCAATCAAGCATGCCATAAGAGTCGACTAATTAGGGGTGCTTCTTAGAAGGAACGCATCTACACAAAAAGCGAAGGAACCAACAGTCTGCAAAAAAATAAGAAAAATTTGTAAAACGGATGTGAAACAAAACTGAAGTTTTGAAACAAGTCCATAGTCCAGAAGTGGACAAACAACCAAAACTTTCAACAGGAGTTGACAGCCGGTGAACGCTAGAAAGAGAAGAAGCCACGACATTTAAGTTTAAGGAATTTCCAGTGACGTAGCTGTGAATTAATTTCCCACGTATGGTCACTTTACTCACAGGGTCAAACCCGTGCTGACCAAAGACGAGACTGCCCTGCTGATGCTGGTGGGCTTCGGCGGCTTCTCGATAATCCTAGCTCTGGTCCACAACGCCATCCGGAAGCATGTCTTTCACGATGAGCACAACCTGGATACCACCTTTGACGCTGGCGGAAACGTCAGCATGTCTCTCACGGCGGTCACCGTGGCCTCTCAGCTGTTTTGGCCAGGAGATATTCTGCACAGTGCCACCTTGACTACAAAGGTAGGTTTGTCGTACTTTGTCTATTTGCTAGTAGGGCATAAGTGAGAGCGCAAGAATAAGATATACTAAGGATATAAAAGTCATTTTAACCTGAATTAGGGAATGAAAGACTCAAGAATTGACACCACTGCACCTGTTACATTCCCACACGTGCTGCGTTCCCCTCTTTAGTAGCTACGAAAATTCGAAATATTAATAGTACAATTTTTAACGTTATTAAAAGTCTGTCAATGTTTTCCGCTCAGTGTAAAAATTCATACGGCTAGTTTCAACGTACAATTTTGTATTTCGTTTCACGGTAAGTGTTATCAAAAACTGGTCGCTACACACGGTTTTGTTAGTCCAATCCCAGAGACAAAGGTGTTTATTTCGTGCCGAAGAACTGCATGGCTGTAAACTCCGGTGGAGAGTTATGACAGTTCCTCAACTCCTGTACTTTGTTTTTGGTCCAGAACTTTGTTTGAGGCTTGTCTCATTTACTTCGACTCATAATTTTGAATGTTTTATGTATAATTACCATTACTCCTGTTTTCCTCTGCTTAAATAATTCCGGGTAGTTAACGTCCTTTGAGCAATGTTTCCAGGTAATGCCGGTGTATTTGAGTAAGGAACAGACATACACATTGGCTGGTTCTGCGTCAATGGATGGTCAACTGATAAATGACAAGCTAGATGTTGTAAGGGAGCTTTGGGAGCGAGTAGACTGTGCGAAGGCACTCATTGATTATTGGATGGTCAACTGATAAATGACAAGCTAGATGTTGTAAGAGAGCTTTGATAGCGAGTAACTGTGTGAAGGCACACATTGATCAATGGATGGTTAACTGATAAATGACAAGCTAGATGTTGTAAGGGAGCTTTGGGAGCGAGTAGACTGTGCGAAGGCACTCATTGATTATTGGATGGTCAACTGATAAATGACAAGCTAGATGTTGTAAGAGAGCTTTGATAGCGAGTAACTGTGTGAAGGCACACGTTGATCAATGGATGGTTAACTGATAAATGACAAGCTAGATGTTGTCAGGGAGCTTTGGGAGCGAGTTACTGTGTTAAGGTACACATTGATAAATGGATGGTCAACTGATAAATGACAAGCTAGATGTTGTAAGAGAGCTTTGGGAGCGAGTTACTGTGTGAAGGCACACGTTGATCAATGGATAGCCAACTGATAAATGACAAGCTAGATGTTGTAAGAAAGCTTTGAGAGCGAGTTACTGTGTGAAGGCACACGTTGATCAATGGATAGCCAACTGATAAATGACAAGCTAGATGTTGTAAGAAAGCTTTGAGAGCGAGTTACTGTGTAAAGGCACACATTGATCAATGGATGGTCAACTGATAAATGACAAGCTAGATGTTGTCAGGGAGCTTTGAGAGCGAGTAGACTGTGCGAAGGCACACATCGATCATCACGGTCTGATGAGAACGGTGGAGCGAGGAGTGACTAGGTGATCTGACCGACGCTCAACAGTCAGGGAAAGGGCGAAACGGACATACTGTCAGACGGTTATATGTACTAACTCAATTGGAACTCTGCGCCCCCTCCTGAAGATGGGGACGGAGTGCTTATGAGATAGCCCCGTGTGGCGGGTAACTTCGCTTTAACTAGCGAATGCACTATGTGCACTTTACATAGGGAACAACAAACAGTAAATCTTAATAGGGGTTTTTATTACCCCCAGCCTTGCTGGTTAAATTAGAGGATTTGGGGTTTGCCCACATCTTATTCCCTGCTGTAATTAATTGTATATTTAAATGTATTTAAATTACACTAGCTTTTGTTCACTGACACACGTACAGTTACAATGAAACTTCAGAAAACTGTAAGAACATTAAAACTACATTTATTTTGAAAATTCAAATGATAACTAAATAAAATGGCTGTGGATATAAAATCCTGTTATTCAAGGTAGGTTAGTTAAATCTTAGCTGTAGCTTA